GGGATGGAGAACAGAATAAATAGAAAATAGTAGAATAGAATATAAAAGAACAGAGTAGAATAGAATCTTTTTTGAGAATAGAGTAGAGTAGAATAGAATAGAATAGAATAGAATAGAATAAAAAAGAAATGGAATGGGATTGAGAATAGAATATAAAATAGAACAGAATAGAATATTGAGAATAGAATAGAACAGAATAAAAAATAGAATATAAAATGGAATAGAATATAAAGTAGAATAGAATATAAAATAGAGTAGAATATAAAATAGAATAGAATATAAAACAGAACAGAATAGAATATTGAGAATAGAAACTTTATTGAGAATAGAATAGAAATAACAGAGTTGGAAGGGACCTTGGAGGTCTTCTAGTCCAACCCCCTTGCTCAAGCAGGAAACCCTATTTTCATTTCAAACCAATGGCTATCCAATCTCTTCTTAAAAGCTTCCAGTGATGGAGCAACCACAACTTCTGGAGGGCAGATTGTTTCACTGATTAATTGTTATCACTGTCAGGAAATTCCTCCTTAGTTCTAAGTTGCTTCTCTCCCTGATTAGTTTCCACCCATTGCTTCTTGTCCTGCCTTCTGGTGCTTTGGAAAATAGCTTGACTTCCTCTTCTTTGAGGCAGCCCCTGGGAGACTGGAACACTGCTGTTCTGTCAACCCACCCCCACTACTCCTTTTGTTCATTAAAGTAGACATAAACGAATGGTTGTAAGTCAAGGACTACCGACAACTTCCGATACCATTAAGGCCCTGTGGAGAGTTTGAGCTCCAAGGTACCAGGCACTTTGGGATGTCACGCGTGTCTGCATCGGCAGATAATCTGAAGAATCAGTAATAATAGCCGAGATTTATCATCCCAGCATTTTGTAATTGTTCCACATTTTCTTTCCCTGAGGTCTCGGATGCTTAAGCTCGCAAAGAGTGCAAGCAATTACTTCGTAGCTCCAGAGAGAGAATATGGAAGCAAGCGACCTTTCTAATATGCTCCCCCTTCCCCTAACTCCCCAGTGAGAGTTAGCCTGGAAATTGTCTCAGATCGCATTCTCCTTATTGGATGTGTTGCACGGGGGAAGCCACATGTTCCAGAACTTTCTGTCCCAAAATATGCCAGTCGGAACTCAAAGCAGCGTTTCGGCATAGCTTGGAAGCGATCTGACCTTAAAACAGCACGTTTTCGAATCTTTCTGCACTTTGGCGACCAGTGGTGGTATTCTACCGGGCCAGCGAGCCGGTAGCAGCAATGAGCAGTGGAGACAGAACCGTGTGTGTGTGTGTGTATTTATGTGTGTATGTATGTATGTGTGTGTGTATGTTCTGACCCAAAACTGGTTCCAAGAGATCAAACACAAGACAAAGGCAGCAGTATAACCTTTTTATGTTTCATCTATGAATCCTGTTTCTTCACAGATAAAAGGCTGCCTCCAACAAATTAGCTCCGACAAGAAAGAGTCTTGCCAAGTTTTTTTAAATCTGCCAAAAAACAACAGATAAGAAATAGTTTACAAGAGTCTTCAAATACCAACTGTAATGTCCACGAGGCTGAGTTTCAAAATATCTTTGCCTTCTGCAAAGAAGGTTTGTTTCACAGCTGTCTTTTATTTTCTTGAGGGAGGGGCCATTACCTTGCAGCCTTACTCCTGAGTTGCCCGTGCTGTTGTAACTACTCTTTCCTGCGAGCAATCCTTTGCGCACGTGCACTTGGCACAGGATCCTCGGGAACCTCCTCATCGCTGCTGCCAGCCCCCACAATCTCTGAAGGCAGCAGTCCACTTCCTGATGGTCCTGGCCCCTCATCTGAGTCCTCACTCTTCTCAGCCAT